CCAGGGTTTGGGCTCTTTGCTTCCTCTCACTCCCCCCTGCAGAGGGGCTGTCCCTGGGAGGTGTTAGGTCTCCCGGGGGGGGGGGGGGGGGGGGGGGGGGGGGGGCGGGGGGGGGGGGGGGGGGGGGGGGGGGGGGGGCGGGGGGGGGGGGGGGCGGGTGGGGCTGTTGGGGGAGCTGACGGGGTAGGGATGGATCATCACTGAAGGGCCAATGGAGATGTGGGGGAGGCGTCAGGACTAGCTGAGGGGGGAATTGCGAGGGAGCTGCCCGGGGGTGAGGTTTACAGCTCAGGGCAGCGTGTTCAGGCCCATTTGTGGCATCCAGCCCCATGGGGACCCCACACCTCTGACAGCTCAACTACATAACACCGATACCACTGACCCCAGTGCAGCGTCTGCTCAGCCCCTCGCAGCCTCACTCACCCATGTAGCTCCGAGCCCTCCTGAAATCTGCAAGGGAAGAGGAACAAACATGGTCAGGGGCCCGGCAAATGCAGGGAACTCACTCCCACAGGAGGTGCTCTTCTGGGAGAGGGGTCATTGGCAAATGGAAAGGAAGCAAGCGATGTGAAATGTGACATGAAAACACGTTCTCTTACCTAGCTCTGCGTGCACCTTGTCTCAAACGGAAAGAGACGGAGTTATTCCCTGTCATTTAGGCAGAGGGCTCAGTTCTGGGTACTGCTCTGTGACCGTGTGATCACTTTACATGTGGTTCATGGGCCCTCACTGCTGAAGGAGAAATGACCCATCTTCGTGAAGTGAGAGACAGGCCCTTTCATCCAGAGATCTCTGCTAATAGTAATGACTGGCTCTCTGGGGTGCCTCTATATTGTCTCAGTATCAGGGACTGAAGCAAATGTTGCTCTCAGGGACACTGCTGTAACTCCATGTGCTTCACTGGAGAGAAACTGGATTTACACTGGTGTCACCCAGAGCAGAATCCAGGCCAGTAAGAAGCTGCTGTTTGGCTGTGGTGGCCCCCAATGGATTGGGAATTTTAAAAGGACACTGGTAGGATACAAATCTTGGGTGGGATTTGCAAAGCATCTAACCTTGATGGAAGACATGGGTCTGGATCCCTATTCAGCTCTGACACTTACATCTAAGGAGAATTTCTTTTCTGTGTTGCTAATAACCCTTTGGAGCATCAAAACTGCACACTCCAGCAGTCATCTATAGAAAGCGTCTGTTCCCCTTCTGACGCATCAGAACCATGCGATGGCTTTGGATTGTCAAAGGCCAGGTGACACCTGTCTCTCTATCCAGACATGAAAGCAGGTAACCCTGTATCTGCAGCAGAGAGCTCACAGTGCTGTGGTGGGACTTATGTAACTCTAATGTGACTCAGATGCAGTGTGGGCCATTGTCAGCAAAGTGGCGTGGGGCTGTTCCAAACTTCGGGTACATCTACACTGCAGCCCTAGTGCCCTAAAAGTAGCAGGGTATCTGGGAGCAGCGTGTGCAGTGGTTTCGGCTGGCTGCTCAAGTATAAACCCGCTCAGACCCCCAGGGTATGTAATCAGGCGGCTACACTTAGCCACTGCCCGTGCTATCCCACTGTGACACTCTGTACCTCAGAGTAGCACCCTGGAACCCCCATATTCACTGCTGTGATATAATTATGCTATGTTTTGTACAAAGTTTGCCTTGTGAGGTATCATTTTAAAAGTTTTGATCTGTTGAACATTAATATCCTGTTGGATTGTATGTGCTAACACTGTATGTGAGGTTATGAAGTATTACTGTATGTGTTACTGAAATATGTTGTGAGGTTGGAAACACCCACAAAAGAAAGGAGCAGCCAGACAGCGTTAATGGTTCATCAGCACTCATGGAGGAAATAATCCATTAGCCCAAAGACTGTAGGCAATGGAGACTGCTTGACCAATTGGGGCTGCCTGATCCCCTCCTCACAGCAAAGATCTCTCCAGCAAGCTGGAAGAAAGTATAAAAGAGGGGAAGTGACATCATCATTTGACCTCTCTCCACTCCCAACTCAACACCTGGAAGAACAGCTGGAGGACAAAGTGACTTTCCGGGACCGCCATGATTTCCACAGCTACAGCGGCCGGTGCGGCTTACCCGAGGGCCACCTGAGCAGCTGGGGCGGCCCCCAGGGCCAGCCATGCTAGTTGCTGCTGGGACGGCCCCTGGGCTCATCCTCACTGGCTGCTACTAGAGCAGCCCCAGGCAGCTGGCCCCAGGGCTGTCTGAGCAGCAGCTAGTGCAGCTGGCTCCTGGCACGGACCCAGAGCAACCATCCTGGAGCAACAGCAGTACCCCAGGCCTCCCCCCACCCCCATAGCAGCATTGGTGTCCCAGGGCCCCAGGAGCAGCTAAGATTTAGTCATGGATATTTATAGTACAAGTCATGGACATGTCACGGGCCGTGAATTTTTGTTTATTTCCTATGACCTGTCCATGACTTTTACTAAAAATACCCATGACTAAATCTGAGCCTTATTCATGAGTGGCAGGGGGATCTTTCATGTAACACAATTGGGCGCGTCCCTGCCTGTGGGTGGCTGTGTAAGTGCAGTGCCTGTCAGAGGCTTGGAGCTTGACACAACATCACGGTGTGAGGGACAACCTAGGTTGGTTCATTTGGGGGGCTCAGTGGTCCCACAGTCCAGGTTGCACCCCAGGGACCCCGACACACCCACCCACACTGCTATCGTTAGCGCATTAGCTCAAGCAGAGCGAGCGTGTGTCAGCTACTCGGGCTGGGAAGCTCACTCCTAGTTGCAGTGTAGATGTACCCAATGAGCCAAAGGTGTCAAAACCAACACCACTTGTCAGAAAAAAACTGTTGTTAATGAACAAAAGACAAAGTCCCAGATCAGCCCCTAAACAGAGCCCACAAATTGCCCCCAGCTACTGTTATTGCAGGGAATGAGGGGAGGGAGCATCACACCAGAACATATGTCATGTAGAGAGAGGCCTGCACTGCTGCAGCCTGTCACCCGACCTCAGACCTCCTATTTCTGGGCCGTGCAATCCCTTTGTGGTGCTGATCTGCACAAGTGTGTGACTCTAGGGTTAGTGGTTGGCAGGAGCTTAGCTGGGGAAGGGCTCTGTGGAAGTGTGTGGCTCTGGTTTTACTCTCCATCCCTAGAGATGTGGGGTCAGGTCCTGTCTCAACTCCTAGTGGAGCAATGTGGGTGGTGTCAGAGTGCACCTCACAAAGCCCCCTCAGAGCATTATGGGGTTCAGAGGCTCTGTTCATTTGAGGCCCAGGTCTAGACGAGGAGCGGGGGAAACAGGACAGGACTAAGGAGCTGAGGGCTGGATAACAGGGAAGCTGTGGGTGGGGACTGAGCGATGCCAACAGAGCTGGGGTTGGGGGAGGAAGCCCAGGGCTGGGACAGCAGGGGGCTGCAGGCAGTGGAGGTGTTTGTCCCATGGGGACCCCCTACACAGCTCTGTTCCGGGTCCCTACCAGTGACCTGGCATGTTTGGTGTGTGCAAGGTCACGCTGTGCGGAGGACACAATTTGGAGTCCTGGGCAGCACTGAGCAAGACAGAGCAGCTAACCCTTGTTGGGCCAGATCTGGTTTTCAGGGGGCAGTTTGCAGCCTTGGCTTGCCGGTGCTTAATGCCATGACTAGCTGCAGGTCAGGATTAAGGGTCACTGGCAGAGCTGCATGTGTGGGAGTCCAAGGCTGGGATTTTGGGAGGCTGCAGGTGGGCACAAAGGGATCCAGCTGAGCTGGGTGCAGGCAGGGAGCCCAGTACGGGGGGCAGGGATTTTGCAAGTCTGAACTGAGATGTCTCCACAGAACTGCATGGAGGAAGTTTGCCCAGCATCTAACTAAGGGCTAGTCTACACTAGAAGCATTAAATTGGCGCTGCTGCACTGATGCTGCTGTAGCGCGTCTGGTGAAGTTGCTTTTTGCTGACGGGAGAGAGCTCTTCTATCTGCGTAATTACGCCAGCTCCTTGCGTGACAGTGGCTACGTCAGCAGGAGAGCATCTCCCACCAACGCAGTGCTGTGCACGCTGGCGCTTACATCACTGTAACTTGCGTCGCTCAGCAGGGCGGTTTTAGACACCCCTGAGCGACGTCAATTATATCATCATAAGCCCTAGTGTAGACCTGCCTCGTGTCCCCCCATTCCCTATGCACTAGAGTCACTTTCTGTCATTAAGGATCATACTGAAACCTGAGCTGCCAACTCTGCAGTGTTTGTTTATTTCCCGGGGATGAGGAGATGATCATGAAGGTGACTGAAGTCCATACAGTGCACGTGGTGATTTTCCTATCCCATGACAGTGTGAAAGCCCAGACACACGTTTACTAGGGATTATCCAAGTACCTGATTGCAAGAAGAAATGGTCACTCACCCTGTGCTGTAACTGTGGTTCTTCGAGACATGTCCCTACGGGTGCTCCACTCCCTGCCCTCCGTCCCCTTAGCTTCAGAGTTCTCTGCTGGGAGCTTTGCGTCAGATAAGAACTGAGGGTGGTTCGCCTGTGCAGTGCTATATAATAGGGGTGGCCAAACTTACTGAGCCTCCGAGCTGCAGACAACAATCTTCAGAAGTTCGAAAGCCAGGGCGTGCCTGCTGGGGGTCGGGGTTTCTGCCCTGTGGGTGGCACCTGCTGGGGCTCAGGGCTTCAGCCCCGCTCCTGCTGAAGCCCCGAGCCCCGGCAAGCGTTCCCCATGGGGCTGAAGGCCCAAGACACCCATCCCCGCTGGGCAGAAGACCCCACACCATGACCCTGCTGCAAGGCCCTGAGCTCCCCCACCAAGACTGGTAGGTGGAGAATTGGAGCCGGGGGGGGGGGATCCGTGAGTTGCATTTTAACTGTAAAAGAGCCACATGCAGATCGTGAGCCGCACTTTGGCCACCCTTGCTATATAACAATGGCACAGGGCATGGGGCTGACATGCATGGGCTGAACGGACACTGCCATGAGAAATGTCTGATCAAAGGCACACGGGGCACTAGTGCACCTAGAGTAGAGCACCCACAGGGACAGTAACTGAAGAACCACTATTCCTGCTGAGACCCTGGAATGGGGGAGAGAAAAAAGAGTTAGACACAGAAGCTTTGTGCCCCATAACAACTGGTGTTAGTTACAGACACCCACAGCCACACTTCTAGCCCAAGTAGCCAGCAGCTTTGATAGGAGTGGGGCTGGTGGTTAGTGAGTCACACCAATACGCAGGAGCCCTGGGATTTGCAAAGCATCTCACCTTAATGGAAGACGTGGGTCTGGATCCCAATACAGCTCTGACATTCCCAACCCTTCCATCTAAGGGGAATTCCTGTTCTGTGTTACTAACAGCCCTTTGGAGCATCAAAGCTACACACTTCAGGTGTAACTAAGGGATGGACATGCAGATAATTGGAGCTCAGATCTGGGATCTGGCCTTAGCAACAAAGCATAGAAACGGGAGCCTGAATCTGGTCTTTTGCTCATCTCCACTTTCTGGGACTTAGCCGAGAAGAGCCTGCCCTGCAGCAGCATCTATAGAAAGTGGCTGGTCCCCTTATCCTGCATCAGAACAATGTGATTGGCATTGGGTTGTCACAGGCCAGGTGACACCTGTCTGTCTGTCCAGACATTAGAGCAGGTAACCCTGTGTCTGCTGCAGAGAGCTCACAGAGCTGCTGTGGGATTGGGGTGACCCTAATGTGACTCTAATTTTGGCCCAAACTGTTCGCTCAGCCCTGCCCTGCAGTGTCGGTGCTTCTGGATCTGCTCAGCACCGTGTGTGGCTGGGAGCCTCTCCCCAGGGGCTCTAATGGGAAGCTGGATGAACTTACCAAGCCTCTGATGCAGCTTCTGGCACACTGGGGAGAGGAGAGAAGAGAAGGAGACCATCATGGGTTCAGTGTGGGTCATTTTGAGCAGGGTGACACGGGGTTATTCCAAACTCTGGGACAATCTACACTGTACCTGGCAGTGAGCTTCCCAGTCTGAGCAGGCAGACACATGCTAGCTCTGCTCGAGCCAGTGCGCTAAAAGTAGCAGGGTCGCGGGGGTAGCACATGCAATGATTTGTGCTAGCTGCTCAAACACTAACCTTCTCGCACTCCCTGGGTCAGTACACTGATGGCTACCGTGAGCCGCAGCCCCTGCTACCCCAGCCACACTGCTATTGTTAGTGCGCTAATTCAAACAGAGCTAGTGTGTGTCTGGCTCCCCGAGCTGGGAACCTTGCTCCTAGCTGCAGTGTAGACGTACCCAATGAGCCAAGGGTGTCAGAACGAACAGCACAGGTCAGAAAAAGTGTTGGTAAATGAACAACAGACAAAGTCCCAGATCAACCCCTAAACAAAACCCACAAATTGCCCCCAGCTACCGTCATTGAAAGGAATGAGGAGAGGGAGCATCACACCAGAGCATGTATCACATAGAGAGAGACCTGCACTGCTGCAGCCTGTCACCCATTTCTGTGCTGTGCAATCCCTTTGTGGTGCTGATCTGCAGAAGTGTGTAACTCTAGTGGTTGGCTGGGGAAGGGTCCATGGGGCCGTGTGACACTGGATTTATTGCCCACCCCTACAGATGTGGAGTCAGGTCTTGTCTCGGCTCCTAGTGGAACAAGGTGAGTGGTGGTTCCCATCAGAGTGCACCTCACAGAGACCATATAGCGCATAGTAGGGTTTGGAGTCTCTGTTCATTCGAGGCCCAGGCTTAGACTAGGAGGGGGTAAAACAGGGGTGAGGAGCTGTGGGCTGGGATAGCAGGGAAGTGGTGGGTGGGGACTGAGGGATGCCATCAGAGCTGGGACTGGCGGAGGAAGCCCAGGGCTGGTATAGTAGGGGGATGTAGGTATTTGTCTTATGGGAACCCCCTGCCCAGCTCAGTTTCAGGGCCCCTACCAGTGACCTGCCATGTATGGCGTGTGGGCAGAAGACACCATTCAGAGGCCTGGGTAGCACTGAGCAAGATGGAGCAGCTGACGGCTGGTGGGTGAGATCTGGCTTTGAGTGGACCCCTTGCTATCTTGGGGTTTCTTGCAATTGCCTGGCTTGGAGGTGCCTAATGCCATCAGGACTGATGGTCACCTGCAAAGTCAGGATTGAGGGTCACCGGCTGAGCTGTGGGACTGGAGAGTTCAGGACTGAGACAGCAGGGCTGCTGATGGTGATTGAGGGGCCCTGGCAGAGCTGAGTGTGTGGGAGACCGGGGCTGCATAGCAGGGGGCTGAAGGTTGGGATTGAGGGGCAGGGCTGTGTGCACATGGGAAGCCCAGTATTGATATAGCAGGGATTTTGCAGATGGAAATTGAGATATATGCACAGAATTGCATGAAGGAAGTTTGCCCAGACCCTCGGTAAGTCCCACTGGTCCATATGCACGACATTCACTCCATCATTTAGGATGATACTGAAATGTGAGCTACAAACACCGCAGTGTTTGAATATTTTCAGGGCAGGGGGAGATAATCATGAAGGTGACTGAAGACCATACATTGCAATCCCTTTGTGATGTTGATTTGCAAAAATGTGTAACTTTAGGGTCAGTGGTTGGAAGGAGATTAGCTGGGGAAGGGCTCTGGGGGCTGGGTGTCACTGGAGTTACTGTTAACCCTTAGGTAAATGGTTCAGGTTCTCTCTCAACTTCTATTGGAACAATGTGGGTGATGGCTCCCATCAAAGTGCACCTCACAGAGCCCATACAAAGCGAAGTTGGGTTTGGAGGCTCTGTTCATTTGAGGCCCAGGCCTAGACTAGGAGGGAGGAAAACAGGGGTTAGGAGCTGAGGGCTGGGATAGCTGGGAAGTGGTGGGTGGGGTGACAGTCTCTGTTCATTGGAGACCCAGAGCTAGAGTGTAAGGGTGAAGGTGCAGGGGGGAAAAGGATTGTACAGGATTGAGGAACTCAGGGGTGGGATGGCAGGGAGGTAGATGGTGGGGAATGAGGGGTACCAGCAGAGCTGTGCGCATGTGGGGAGCTCAGAGTTCGGATGGCAGATATTTTGCAGGTCCGAAATGAGATATCACCACAGACCTGCATGGAGGAAGTTTGCCCAGCCCCTCACTATGGGCTTGTCTACACAACCCTGTAGTTTGGCCTATGTTGGTGTGATCTGCAGGTTACACTAAAGTGCTGCTTTGGGACTGCCCCATGTGGATGCTGCTGGTGTGCACTAAACAATACATAGTTCATAGAATATCAGGGTTGGAAAGGACTTCAGGAGATGATCTAATCTAACCCACTACTCAAAGCAGGGCCAATCCCCAGCGAGATTTTTTGCCCTAGATCCATAAGTGTCCCCCTCAAGGATTGAACTCACAACCCTGGGTTTAGTAGACCAATACTCAAACCACCAAGCTCTATAGAGCACACTAACAAAGTCTTCTTCAAATAGGACTATAGACATGCAAACTAGGGACCTTTTAGTTCACATCCACAGCATCCACATGGGGTGGTTACAGAGCATCACTTAGGTGGGCATTCCTATTCACACCCCCGAACTCTGAACTGTTGGGCAGTGGAGATGTAGCCAGAAGTTAGTTACAGACACCCCACAGCCACAATTCTAGCCCCAGGAGCCTGCACTGCAGCAGTCATCTATAGAGAGCAGCTGACCCCTTCTCCTACATCAGAACAATTTGATTGGCATTGGATTATCAAATGCAAGGTGACACCTGTCTGTCTATCCAGACATGAGAGCAGGTGACTCTGTGTCTGCTGCGGAGAGCTCACAGTGCTGCGGTTGGACTGGGATAAGTAATGTGATTCTGATTTTGGCCTCAACTGTTGGTGCTTCTGTATTTGTGCTCAGCACCATGTGTGTCTGGGAGCTGCTGCCCAGGGGCTCTACTGGGGAGGTGGATGAACTTACCAATCTTCTCATTCTGCACCTTGAGTTCTGGGGAGAGAAGAAAAGGAGAACATTATGGGTTCAGTGTGGATCATTCCAAGAACAGTGACGTAGGATTATTCCAATGTCTAAGTGCATCTACATTTTAACAGTAGCTATGATGTTACGTCAGCCACCACCACAATGATTGGTCCTTGCATCTCCCTTCCACAGAGTTTGCATATAACAACATAGACCATTCATCCATGCATCAAAAGAGACTCTTTTGTACATAGAATGGGTAACACCCCCGACTCCATCTGCAATTACCTATGTCTCCTCCCAGCCCAGCCGCCTCGGACCTAGTACCAGGGCCGGCTCCAGGCACCAGGCAACCAAGCTGGTGCTTAGGGCGGCACCTGGAGGGGGGCGGCGCGGCGGTCCGGCCGCCGGGGAGAGCGGGGCCACAGCCGGGCTCGCCGCCCTCCCCCAGGCGCTCTGGCCGCCCTCCCCCCCCGCCCTCCCCCCAGCCGCCGCTCTGGCCGCTGGGGGGAGAGCCGAGGGAGAGCGGGGCCACAGCCGGGCTCGCCGCCCTCCCCCCGGCGCTCTGGCTGCCGCTCTGGCCGCCGGAGGGAGAGCCGAGCCCCCGCCGGGGCTCGCCGCCCTCCTCCCAGGGCCCCGGCCCCCCCGCCGGCGGGGGGGGGGGGGGGGGGCGGCTGGAGGCTTTTTTGCCTGGGGCGGCAAAAAAGCCAGAGCCGGCCCTGCCTAGTACAGTGGATTAATCAGGTTCATGAGTGAGGAAACATCTTGAATAGGCAAGACAAGAACACAAACATTATGCGGACCATCAACAGCAAGGCCCCACCTATTCAGTGGGGCAAAAAGTATGGCTCTCGGTGGAGCATCTCCGCACAGACAGACACAATCGCAAGCTAGACTTTCAGTTCCTTGGTTCCTTTAGGATCCAGAAACAGGTTCACTCAGTCTTTGAATGTCAATTATCCCACTCTCAGGAGATTCACCTGGTGTTTCATGTCTCACTTTTGAAACCCTACATGGAAAACCTCTTTGACAGGCTTTGGTACCTTATCTGAGAGGGATACAGACCCCAGCACACCTGAGCAGTGGCAGAAAATATACCCAACCCTGCACTAATATGAGCATTCCATAAAAATCACCTCAAAAAGCCTGGTCCAATGTTGCCTGGAGGGTCTCACTTGGCAAGGAACTGATGCCAGGAAGATGTCTTGAAGCCTGGTCCACAGGGCTCTTCTCAGCCAGTAACTTGCAACCCACCACCCACCGACCTGCTGACAGCTATCAGACCTACAATCTCAAATCTGACAGAGGACTCCAATCCAGGGATCTGATTAGTGGAACAGGTGGGTCCTGACTGGTTTGCTGGTCTATTTAAACCAAGCACATGACCAGTAAGTTGTCCATGGAAATGGGATTTTTACTGCTGAGCTCTGCTTCCCCTGTGCTACCTGCTCCTACTCTCTGACTCTCCTGGCAACCTGACCCTGCCTGTCTCCTCACACCTGACTCCTGTTCCAACCACTAGGCATGACCGCCCACATCCTGGTCATGACACTCTAGCAGAGCTAGCATGTGTCTGGCTACCCGATCTGGGAAGGTTGCTTTCAGCTGCAGTGTAGATGTACCCAATGACCCAAGGGTCTCAGATCTGACAGGACGTGTCAGACAAAACTGTTGTTAATGAAAAATAGAGAAGGTTCCAAATCAGCAATAAAAGAGAGCTCACAAATTGTCCCTCAGGGCAGCACCCCCATGTGATGGCATTGCAGGGAATGAGGTAAGGGACCGTCACACCAGAGCATGTATCAGGTAGAGAGAGGCTGGGACTGCTGCAACCTGTCACCCGGACTTCAAACCTCCTATTTCTGTGCCATGCAATCCCTTTGTGGTGTAGATTTGCAGAAGTGTGTAACGCTAGGGTCAGTGGTTGGAAGGAGCTTAGCTGGGGAGGGCTCTGTGGGATTGGGTGGCCCTGGAGTTATTGTCCATCCCTAGATATATGGTTCAGGTTCTCTCTCAACTTCTAGTGGAACAATGTGGGTGATGGGACCCATCAGAGTGCACCTTACAGATCGAATATAAAGCATAGCTGGGTTTGGAGGCTCTGTTCTTTTTAGGCCCAGACCTAGATTGAGAGGGGGGAAACAGGACTGAGGAGCTGAGGGCTGGGATAGCCGGGAAGTGGTGGGTGGGGTCTCTGTTCATTTGAGGGCCAGGTCAAGAGTATAAGGGCGAAGGTGCAGGGGGATAAAGGAGTGTACAGGATTGAGGAGCTCAGGGTATGGCAGGGAGGTAGATGGTGGGGAATGAGGGGCACCAGCAGAGCTCCGTGCATGTGGGTTGCTCAGAGTTTGGATGGCAGATATTTTGCAGGTCAGAATTGAGATAGCTCCTGTCATAACTATAAAGGGAAGGGTAACAGCCCTCCTGTGTACAATACTATAAAATCCCTCCTGGCCAGAGACTCCAAAATCCTTTTACCTGTAAAGGGTTAAGAAGCTCAGGTAACCTGGCTGACACCTGACCCAAAGGACCAATAAGGGGACAAGATACTTTCAAATCTTGGTGGGGGGAAGGCTTTTGTTTGTGTTCTTTGTTTTGGGGGTTGTTCGCTCTTGGGACTAAGAGGGACCAGACATCAATCCATGCTCTCCAAATCTTTCTGAACAAGTCTCTCATATTTCAAACTTGTAAGTACAGCCAGGCAAGGCGTGTTAGTTTTATCTTTGTTTTCTCTACTTGTAAATGTACCTTTTGCTAGGGTGTTTACCTCTGTTTGCTCTAACTTTGAACCTAAGGCTAGAGGCGGTTCCTCTGGGCTCTTTAAGTTTGATTACCCTGTAAAGTTATTTTCCATCCTGATTATACAGAGATGATTTTTACCTTTTTCTTTAATTAAAAGCCTTCTTTTTAAGAACCTGATTGATTTTTCCTTGTTCTAAGATCCAAGGGGATTGATCTGGACTCACCAGGAATTGGTGGGGGGAAAGGGAAGGGGGGGGAATGATTAATTCCTCCTTGTTTTAAGATCCAAGGGGTTTTGGATCAGTGTTCAGCAGGGAGTTGGTGTAAGAGTCTCTCAAGTCTACCCAGGGAAGGGAGTTAGCCCATTGGGAGTGGTGGCAGCGGACCAGATCTAAGCTGATAGTTAATCTTAGAACTTTTCATGCAGGCCCCCACATCTGTACCCTAAAGTTCAGAGTGGGGAAGGAGCCTTGACAGCTCCACAGACCTGCATGGAAGAAGTTTGCCCCTCACTAAGGGCTTGTCTACACAGCCCCGTAGTGTGGCCTATGTTGGTGTGATTTGCAGGTTATACGAAAGTGATGCTTTGGGACTGCTCCCAGTGGATGCTACTGGTGCGCACTAAACAACACCTAGTTAGAATCATAGAATATCAGGGTTGGAAGGGACCTCAGGAGGTCATCTAGTCCAACCCCCTGCTCAAAGCAGGACCTAATCCCAACTAAATCATCCCAGCCAGGACTTTGTCAAGCCTGACCTTAAAAACCTCTTCAAATAGGACTATAGACATGCAAACTAGGGACCTTTCAGTTCACACTCACAGCATCCACATGGGGTGGATACAGAGCAGCACGTTGGTGTGCATTCCTTTTCACAACCCTGTACTGGGAACTGTTGGGCAGTGGAGACCTAGCCAGAATCCTGCTGGTCCATAGGCATTAAATTCACGCTCAGTTGTTAGGGATGGTACTGAAATGTGAGCTGCCATCTCTGCTGTGCACATTTCTATCCTGGGCAGGGGGAGATGATCATGATGGTGGCTAAAGTCCACACATTGTATGTGGTGATATTCCTAATTATCAGAGTGGGAAAGCACAGACACATGTTTACCAGGGGTTGACCCAAGTACCTGATTCCAGCTCCTTGTTCTTCCTCTTCTCCGTCTCTGAAATGGGGAAGAGAAAAGAGTCAGACACAGAGACAGGAGCTGTGTGATGCTGTGTGCCCGATAACGACTGGGGTTAGTTACAGACACCCCACAGAGACAATTCTAGCCCCAGGAGTCTGCACTGCAGCAGTCATCTATAGAGAGTGGCTGGCCTGTTCTCCTGCATCAGAAGAATGTGATGTCATTGCTTTCTCAAAGGCAAGGTGACACCTGTCTGTCTATCCAGGCATGAGAGCAGGTGTCCCTGTGTCCGCTGCAGAGAGCTCACAGTGCTGCGTTCGGACTGGGATAAGTAATGTGATTCTGATTTTGGCCTCAACTGTTCACTCAGCCCTGCCCTGCGGTGTCAGTGCTTCTGTATCTGCTCAGCACCATATGTGGCTGGGAGCTGCTGCCCAGGGGCTCTTCTGGGGAGGTGGGTGAACTTACCAAGATTCTTACTCTGCACCTTGAGTTCTGGGGAGAGAAGAAAAGGAGAGCATCATTGGTTCAGTGTTGATAATTCCAAGAACAGTGACATAGGGTTATTCCAATGTCTAAGTGCATCTACACTGCAGCTGTAGTGACCTTCCCAGTTTTGGCAGGCAGACAAATATCAAATGAGCCAAGGGACTCAGAACTGATAGGACATGTAAGACAAAACTGTTGTTAATGAACAAAGAAGGTCCCAGATCAGTCCCTAAGCAGAGCCCATAAATTGCCCCAAGGGTCAACCCCCCTTCCCACCCCACCCCCACCCCCACACTGATGACACTGTAGAGAATGAGGTAAGGGAGTGTTACACCAGAATATATATCACACAGCCTGTCTCCTAGCCTCAGACCTCCTATTTCTGTGCCGAGCATTCCCTTTGTGGTGCTGCTTTGCAAAAATGTGTGACTCTAGGATCAGTGGCTAGCAGAAAGGTAGCTGGGAAGGGTTCATGGGGCTGTGTGGCACTGAAGCTACTGTCCACCTCTAAAGACATGGGTTCAGGTCCTGTCTTGAATTCTAGTGGAACAATGTGAGTTTGGGGGCCCATCAAAGTGCACCGTACAGATCGTAGTTGGGAGGAAGTTTGCCCAGACCCTCAGTAACTCCCACAGGTCCATTGCACAACATTTACTCCATCATTCCGGATGATACTGAAATGTGAGCTACAGACACTGCAGTGTTTGAATATTTTCAAGGCAAGGGGTGATGATCGTGAAGGTGACTGAAGACTATACATTTTCTGTGGTGATTGTCCTATCTCGTTATAGTGTGAAAGCACAAACACACGTTTACTAGGGATTATCCAATTACCTGATTCCAGCCGCATGTTCTTATCCTTCTCAGTCTCTGAAATGGGCAAGAGAAAAGAGTTAGACATAGACACAGGAGCCGTGTGATGCTTTGTGATCCATAACGACTGGGGTTACTTACAGACACCCACAGCCACACTCCCAGACCCAGTGCAGGAGCCAGCAACATTGATAGTAGTGGGGCTGGTGATTAGTGACACGGTAACATGCAGGAGCCATGGGATTTGCATAACCTTGATGGAAAATGTCGGTCTGGATTGCGATACAGCTCTGACATTCCCAACTCTTCCATCGAAGGGGAATTCCTGTTCTGTGTTACTAACAGCCCTTTGGAGCATCAAAGCTACACACTTTAGGAGTATCTAGGGCATGGCCGTGCAGATGATTGGGGCTCATGTCTGGGATCCGGCCTTGGCAACAAAGCATGGAAACATGAGCCACGTTCTGGGAACTCGCCCAGAAGAGTTGCACTGCAGCTGTCATCTATAGACAGCAGCTAGGCGCTCCCACTGCATCAGAACAATGTGATGTCATTGCACAGTCCAAGCCAAGGTAACACCTTTCTCTCTATCCAGGCATGAGAGCAGGTGTCCCTGTGTCCGCTGCAGAGAGCTCACAGTGCTGCGGTCGGACTGGGATAAGTAATGTGATTCTGATTTTGGCCTGAACTGTTCACTGAGACCTGCCCTGCGGTGTTGGTGCTTCTCTATCTGCTCAGCACCATGTGTGGCTGGGAGATGCTGCCCAGGGGCTCTTCTGGGGAGGTGGGTGAACTTACCAAGATTCTTACGCTGCACCTTGAGTTCTGGGGAGAGAAGAAAAGGAGAGCATCATTGGTTCAGTGTTGATAATTCCAAGAACAGTGACATAGGGTTATTCCAATGTCTAAGTGCATCTACACTGCAGCTGTAGTGACCTTCCCAGTTTTGGCAAGCAGACAAATATCAAATGAGCCAAGGGACTCAGAACTGATAGGACATGTAAGACAAAACTGTTGTTAATGAACAGAGAAGGTCCCAGATCAGTCCCTAAGCAGAGCCCATAAATTGCCCCAAGGGTCAACTCCCCTTCCCACCCCACCCCCACACTGATGACACTGTAGAGAATGAGTTAAGGGAGCATTACACCAGAATATTTATCACACAGCCTGTCACCTGGCCTCAGACCTCCTATTTCCATGACGGGAAATCCCTTTGTGGTGCTGATTTGCAAATATGTATGACTCTAGGATCAGTGGCTGGCAGGAATTTAGCTAGGGAAGGGTTCATGGGACTGTGTGTCACTGAAGCTACTGTCCACCTCTAAAGACATGGGGTCTGGCCCTGTCTCGACTCCTAGTGGAACAATGTGAGTGTTGGGGCCCATCAGAGTGCACCTCATGAAGCCCATATAGCGCATAGTATGGTTTGGAGGCTCTGTTCATTGAAGGCCCAGGCCTAGACTAGGAGGATGTAAAACAGGGGTGAGGCGCTGAGGGCTGGGATAGCTGGGAAGCTGTGAGTGGGGACTGAGGGATGCCAACAGAGCTGGGGCTGGGAGTGGAAGCCCAGGGCTGGGATAGTAGGGGGCTGCAGGCAGCAATGGTGTTTGTCTCATGGGGAACCCCCACACAGCTCAGTTTCAGGGCCTCTACCAGTGACCTGCCATGTATGGTGTGTGGGCAGAAGACACCATTCAGAGGCCTGGGTAGCACTGAGCAAAATGGAGCAGCTGATGCCTGGTGGGTGAGATCTGACTTTGAAGGGACCCCTTGCTATCTTGGGGTTCCCCGCAATTGCCCGGCTTGGAGGTGCCTAATGCCATCAGGATTGATTGTCACCTGCAAAGTCAGGATTGAGGGTCACCGGCAGACAGGGGCAGATTTACCATGAAACACACGATGCCCTGGGATGGGGCCCCCCAACGACAGGGGGCTCATGGGCCAGGCACTTGGGCAGCCCGATCCATGGGGGGAGACTGAGGGGGGTGGGATGTCAGAACCTGTGAGGAGCAGGGGAGCATGGAGCGAGGCTCACCCGCAGCCTCAGGGGAGCAGGCGGGAGGTATGTGTGGCGCTGAGCGGCATGAACGCAGGGGGATGCAGAAGGAGCACAGGGCTGTCGCACAGCCAGCCCGAGAGAAGCCGCACTTTGATGGGGCAACCACTGCTTCTCTCTGGCTGCATGGCTGCCCCCTGCTCCTCCTAAGTCTTCCAGCCCACGTTTGCGCCGCTCCCTGCAGCCTGGTGAACGGTGGATGGGCGCAGCCCATGGGATGCGGACGGGGGATTCAGTTTTCTGCTCCACCAGCCAGGAGAGCTGACAAAGCAGGAAAGTTGGGGCGGGAGGAATTTGCACCCTTTCAAAGGCTGCAGTAAATGACTTCCCTCCACATTTGTGGGCAAGAAAGCAGTGAGAATCTGAGTCCAACTCGGTGCCACTCAGGGCTCATCATGGGTCGGTACAGCTGCATGCTGCCTGTTACTCAGAGATAAATGCGCAATCACAAGCTAGCCTCAGACGGTAAGCTCTTTTGGCACAACGATGTAGGCTTAATATATTTTTGTGAAGTGCCATGTTCTGTATTGCATGTATACCACTTTTAAGCAAACATATAGAGCTTTAGGTAATGGGAGCATTAAAATCCTGAGCTAAAAGGTTCTGATCTGGAATTTCCCAAAGCATAGCATGGAGTCAGTTAATATGATGTTTTCTTCTAAGTTTTGGCCCTTCAATTGTGGTGTAGTCTTTTTGTGCTCTACTAAAGAGCTGCTGTGTTCTACCACAGAGGTATCTACTTTTCAGCAGTGGCAGAAGTGATTTCTATATACTCCTTATCCACCTCACAAAAATATTCAGAGGATTGATTTAGTTAATCTTAGTTTAAAGCACTTTTTGATTCCCAGAGGATAAATATTTTGAAAAAACTTCCCCTTGCAGTCTGGCATGATTAGAAGGACAGTCAGTTTATAGTTAACCTTAAACTTCTGGGGGGAAAAAAAGAATGAAAAACAGGAGGCAGGGGAGATAAGAGAGAATGTTCTTTTTCTTGGCTGGGTCCTGTGGGGGGGGTGGGGGGGGCTCAAAAATGAAGTTGAGCACAGAGCTCCACTAACTCTAAATCCGCCACTGCCAGCAGAGCTGTGGGACTGGAGGGTTGAGGGCTGAGATAGAAGGGTGCTGCTGGTGGTGATAGAGGGGCCCTGGCAGAGTTGTATGTGTGAGAGACCGAGGCTGCATAGCAGGGGGCTGAAGGTTGGGACTGAGGGGCATTGGCAGGGCTGTGTGCATCTGGGAAGCCCAGTATTCATATAGCAGGGATTTTGCAGATGGAAATTGAGATATATCCACAGAATTGCATGGAGGAGGTTTGCCCAGATCCTCAGTAAGTCCCGCTGTTCACTACGTTTGCTCCATCGTTCAGGGTGATTCTGAAATGTGAGCTACAGACACTGCAGTGTTTGAATATTTTCAGGGCAGGGGGAGATGATCATGAAGGTGACTGAAGACCATACATTGCAATCCCTTTGTGATGTTGATTTGCAAGTGTGTAACTCTAGGGTCAGTGGTTGGAAGGAGCTTAGCTGGGGAAGGGCTCTGTGGGGTTGGGTGGCCCAGGAGTTATTGTCCACTGTCAGATAAATGGGTTAACTTCAAGTGGAACAATGTGGGTGGTGGGGCCCATCAGAGTGCACCTCACAGAGCCCATTCAAAGCATAGTTGAGTTTGGACGCTCTGTTCAATTGAGGCCCAGGCCTAGACTGGGAGAGGGGAAAATAGGACTGAGGAGCTGAGGGCTGGGATAGCAGGGAAGTGGTGGGTGGGGTCTCTGTTCATTGGAGGCCCAGACCTAGAGTATAAGGGCGAAGGTGTACGGGGGGCGAAGAAGTGTACAGGACTGAGGAGCTCAGGGCATGGCAGGGAGGTAGGTGGTGGGGAATGAGGGGCACCAGCAGAGCTGTGTGCACGTGGGGAGCTCAGAATTGGGATAGCAGATATTTTGTAGGTCAGAATTTAAATATGTCCACAGACCTGCATGGAGGAAGTTTGCCGAGCCCCTCACTAGCGGCTTGTCTATACAGCCCCATTGTTTGGCCTATGTTGTTGTGGTTTTCAGGTTTCTGCTTTGGGACTGCCCCGTGTGGATGCTACTGGTGCGCACTAAATGACACCTAGTTCATACTAACAAAGTCTTCTTCAAATAGGACTATATACATGTAAACTAGGGACCTTTCAGTTCACACCCACAGCATCCACATGGGGTGGTTACAGAGCAGCACTTTGGTGCACATTCCCATTCATGCCCCCATAGTGTGAACTGTTGGGCAGTGGAGACCTAGCCAGAATCCTACTGGTCCATAGGCATTAAATTCATGCTCAGTTGTTAGGGATGGTACTGAAATGTGAGCTGCCATCTCTGCAGTGCACATTTCTATCCTGGGCCGGAGGAGATGATCATGATGGTGGCTAAAGTCCACACATTGTATGTGGTGATATTCCTAATTATCAGAGTGGGAAAGCACAGACACATGTTTACCAGGGGTTGACCCAAGTACCTGATTCCAGCTCCTTGTTCTTCCTCTTCTCCGTCTCTGAAATAGGGAGGAGAAAAGAGTTAGACACAAAGACAGGAGCTGTGTGATGCTGGGTGCCCCATAAGGACTGGGGTAAGTTCCCGCCCCCGCCCCCCAGCCACAATTCTAGCCCCAGGAGCCTCTATAGAGAGCATCTGGCCCCTTCCCCTGCATCAGAACAATGTGATCTGCATTGGATTGTCAAAGGCAAGGTGACACCTGTCTGTCTATCCAGGCATGAGAGCAAGTGTCCCTGTGTCTGCTGCAGAGAGCTCACAGTGCTGCGGTCGGACTGGGATAAGTAATGTGATTCTGATTTTGGCCTCAACTGTTCACTCAGCCCTGCCCTGCGGTGTCGGTGCTTCTGCTCAGCACCATGGGAGATGCTGCCCAGGGGCTCTACTGGGCAGATGGGTGAACTTACCAATCTTCTGACGCTGCTCCTGGGATTCTGGGGAGAGAAGAAAAGGAGAACATCATGGGTTCAGTGGGGATCATTCCAAGAACAGTGACGTAGGGTTATTCCAAAGTCTAAGTGCATCTACAATACAGCTGGGAGTGAGCTTCCCAGTTTGGGTAGGCAGACGAGTGCTAGCTCTGCTTGAGTTAGTGAGTTAAAAGTATCAGGGTGGTCGGGGGTAATATGTGTAATAGCTTGAGCTTGCCTCTCAAATGCAAACCCACTCAGACCCCCTGGGTACGTATTTGGGCAACTACCCTCAGCTGCTGCCCCTGCTACTCTCAGCCACATTGCTATTGTTAGCTCACTAGCTCAAACGGAGTGAGTGTGAGTCTGGCTACCCGAGCTGGGAAGCTCACTCCCAGCTGCAGTGTAGACGTACCCAGTGAGCCAAGGGTCTCAGAACTGACAGCACATGTCAGAAACAACTGTTATTAAGGCACAACAGACAAGGTCCCAGATCATCCCTTAGACAGAGCCCACAAATTGCCCCAGCTGATGGCACTGTCGAGAATGAAGGAAGAGAGCGTCACAGCAGAACACACTATCACTTAGAGAGAGGCCTGCACTGCTGCAGCCTTTCACCCAGCCTCAGACCCCCATAGTTGAGCCTACAGGATTGTGATTTGCAGCATGCACCAAAGTGCTGCTGTGTAACTGTCCTGTGTGGATGCTGCTGGTGTGCACTGAACAGTACCTAGTCTGCACTAATACAGTCTTCTTCAGACAGGACTATGTTAATGCAAACTAGGAACCTTTTAATTCATACCCAGAGCATCCACATGGGTTGTCACAATGCAGCACTTTGGGGTGCATTGCTATTTACACCTCCATAATCTGAACATTTTTGGGCCGTGTGGAGATAGCCTGAGTCCCGCCATCCCAGATGCAATAAATTCACTCTCTGTTGTAAAAGATGATATTGAAATGTGAGCTGCAAACTCTGCAGTGTTTGTTTATTTCCAGGGCAGGGGGGGATGACCAGGAAGGTGACTCAAGTCCATAAAATGTATATTGGGATTTCTCTATTTTGTTACCATATGAAAGTGCAGAAACACGTTTACTAGGGTTTAGCCAAGTACCTGTTTCAAAGGCCTTCTTCTGAGCTTCTGAAATAGGGAGGAGAAAAGAGTTAGACTCAGAGACTGGAGCTGTGTGATGCTCTGTGCCCCAAAATGACTGTGGTTAGTTGCAGACACCCCACAGTCACACTCCCAGCCCCAATGCAGGAACAAGTAGCTTTGATAGGATTGGGTTTGGCGGTTAGTGATACGCACCAACACACAGGAGCCCTGGGATTTACAAAGCATCTAACCTTGACAGAAGACTTGGGTCTGGATCCTGATACAGCTCTGACATTCTCAACACTAAGGGGAATTACTTTTATGTGTAACTAAAGAGGCATCAAAGCTACACAATCCAGGTGTAACTAGAGGATGGACGAGCCTATGGTTGCTTGGACCTCACATCTGGGATCTGTCCTTGGCAACAAAGCATGGAAACGTGAGCCTGAATCTGGCTTCTTTCTCATCTCCATCTTTTGGAAAATGGCCCAGAAGAGTCTGCACTGCCGCAGTCATCAATAGAAAGTGGCTGGCCCCCTTCTGCTGCATCAGAACAATGTGATTGGCACTGGATTGTCAAAGGCCAGGTGACACCTGTCTGTCTATCCAGACATGAGAGCAGGTAACCCTGTGTCTGCTGCAGAGAGCTCACAGCGCTGCAGTGGGACTGGGGTGACTCGAATGTGACTCAGATTTTGGCCTGAACTGTTCACTCAGCCCTGCCCTGTGGTGTCGATGCTTCTGGATCTGCTCAGCACCATGTGTGGCTAGAAGCCTCTGCCCAGGGGCTCTAATGGGGATGTGGATGAACTTACCAAGCTCCTCATTCAGGTCCTGACATGCTGGGGAGAGAAGAAAAGACCATGATGGGTTCAGCGAGGGTTGTTCCAAGCACAGTGACACAGGGCTATTCCAGACTCTGGGTACATCTACATTGCAGCTGGGAGTGAGCTTCCCAGTTTGGGCAGACAGACGAGTGCTAGTTCCACTCGAGCTAGTGCGCTAAAAGCAGCAGGATAACCGGGGGCAGGACATGCAGTGGCTTGGGCCAGCTGCTCAAGTACAAACCCACTCAGAACCTCAGGTTATGTACATGGGTGGCTACCCTGAGCTGCTGCACCTGGTACCCCAGTCACACTGCTGTTGTTAGCGCACTAGCTGAAGCAGAGCTAGCATGAGTCTGGCTACCCGAGCTAGGATGTTTGCTCCCACCTGCAGTGTAGATGTACAGTAACTCCTCACTTAAAGTTATCACGGTTAACGTTGTTTCGTTGTTACGTTGCTGATCTATTAGAGAACATGCTCATTTAAAGTTGCGCAATGCTCCCTTCTAACGTTGTTTGGCAGCCGCCTGCTTTGTCCACTGCTTGCAGGAAGATCAGCCCATTGCAGGTAGCTGGTGGGGGCTTGGAACCAGGGTGGACTGGCAGCCCCTCATCAGCTCCCTCTATCAGCTCCCCACTCCCCTAAGTTCCCTGTGCTGCAGCCGCCCAGCAGGCTATCAAGGCAGCTGTGGAAGCAGAGAAAGAACTGACAGGAAGGGGATTGCAATGCATGACAGTTTGTTAGCAAGAGTCAGGCTAACTGTAACCCTAATAACGTGAGATTTGAAGAAGCGAGGAATGTGTGAGGTGAGTGGGAAAGAACTGTGTGAGAAGTTGTTTTGACCTTGTGTAGATAATGTGTAAATAATATGGAATGCAGACTGAGAGTCTACATTAGGGAGAAAAACAAGATATCAGAATGACCTATGTATAAACAAAATGCTGCGGTTGCTTTTCATTGTCTGGATCAAAAGGTATAAATGCTTGCTGTAATTGTTTACCTGTGAAGAGACCTGCCTAGGAGGGGGAGACCCTATGTCCTAGTGCACTTTCTTCCTTTACACAGCTGTTAAAGAGAATAAAGTATCTGATTTGCTGTACCCAAACAAAAGAGTGAGAACTCTGTTATTCTCTGACAATTTGGGGGCTCGTCCGGGATGGCAATGCCTACTGAGACAGTGGCAGCTGCTACGGATCATTCCCCTTTGAACCCCATGGGGCCACAAGAGAGGTAGGAGACCTTTTGAAATCTCTATTGGGGTATAGGAGGAGGACTGCCCGTGGAGACTGTCTGTCCCTGTTGGGCTTACGCCATCTGAACTTATTGACTGTACAGCAAGATCAGATGCAGAGCGGTACTGGGTAACTGTTTTGCCGCCCCCAACAAGGTTAGTTAAAGTGGTACTGAGGACTTAGTTTGCCACCCTCAATAAGGTAGTTGTATGCGGTACTGGGGAACTGTTAGTTTGGCCGCCCCCATATGCATAAGGGAAATGCATTAGGTACGCATCGCCTCAAGAGGGGTTGTTACCGCCTCAAGAGGGGTTGTTACCGCCTCATAGTGTATTGAGTCCGGACATAAGGTATAGATGCATCGTGGTATTTAGAAATAGAGGCCTTGGAGTGTGTGTGTACACCAGTGTGAATTGAGAGTTACCGGAAGATGCCCAGAGTATTCTGCAAAGTCGTTTGGCTCATAACCAGAACTACTCTAACACAAGCCCGGTAACTAGAGGATCTGTAGAAGATCCGACCCACGGTAGGATGACTCGGCCTGGCATCGTCCGGTGAGGAAGCTACCTGGGTCTAGGAGTGTGTGTGCCCCTCTTCCCTCCCCCTTTTCCTCTCTGTGTGAGCCACTGACAGTCTGATCATCTCGCTGGATGCAAAGAGTGTGAGCGGTGCCGTCTCTCTGAGACTAACCGGCGCTCTTTGCTGAAGGGAGGTGTAGGAGGGTCATGGCCATCCTCGTTAGTCTCTCCTGTGTGAGTACCTTGTAGGGAGAGATCCTTAGTTTATGTGCCGCTAGTGCGGACAGGGCATCCCCCCTGTGTGTGTGATTGGAAAATGGGTGGGGGACAGTCTAAGTATTCCCTCTTACCCCCTAAGGGTACCCCAGCTTATTTTATGTACGTACATTATGGTCCGAAAACCTGCAGGTATTTAGAGAATTGGAATCGTTACACGCGTGCAAATCCATTTAAACAATGCCCAATGGAAGGTACCTTCAATTTAGATAAACTTACATATCTCAGAGAAACCCTTACATCACCAAAAACCTCTGACACACAATGGGAGCAATTTGTCTATTGAGGAAAGGAACGGGTTAATTTGAAATTCAGCTTGGTCCAGAAACAAAGAGAAAGTTGCACTGCGTTCAAGGTAAAAAAAAAAATCAACGTAGACCATGCTAAGTACAAAGAAGAACTGCTTTCGGCCCCAGCTGGCTGTGAAAAAAATATAGACAGAGGCAAACCAATGGCAATACAAGTTACAGGACTGAGATTACATTTGCAAAGCTTAACTGTCCAGTGAAATCCAACTGTCTGCCTTTGAGACCCTGGAGCTGGCGTGGTTTGGGGACACTGTGAAGAAGCCACAGGCAGCCGGCCTGGACTGGAATCTCTGAAAGAGATGCCGCAGGAGACCCCAGGGTGTAAAAGAACAGCCCTCCCAAGAGTGGAAGCAAGTTGGAGATTCTGGACAAACTATACAGGATAATCTCCTGTCCACCTCTCCCCCTTCTCTGGACGTTATACACAGACATGGCCAGTCTGGACGTACGTGTGTGAGTATGAAAGTGTGCCCACTCTCAGCCGCAGTAAGTCTGAGAACCGGAGAGGGGTTGAGCATTCCTCTGTCCAAGAGAAGGGTGTCAGGTGGATCTACCCCAGTCGTTGCAGGACTGGGCAATAGAGAAGTTGGAGAAAAGGAAGCACTGGCTACGCCATCTCTCCCCCCACTGCCATGTGCTGCTCCTGCCCTCTGTCTTGGAGCTGCTCCCAGAGATTCCTGATTGCTGTGCAGGGGGGAAAGGAGGGGGTAAATGTCAGGGTGCCCCCTCCCCCTGCTCCTGCACCCCGCTTACTCCTTCTCAGTATAGAGCAGGGAGGGGACACGGAGGGAGAGAGACAGAGAGAGCTTGGGTCAACAGCTGCTGTCTCAACTTCCTGATCCACTTAAAAAGACAATGCACTTAAGAGTGGGTCAGCTTACTTAAAGGGGCAGTGTGCATCTCTCTCTTTCTCCCACACACAAGGTGTGTGTCTGTCTCTGTCTGCTATGCTGTCTCCCCTCCCTCGTGTTCGTGCTGCCTTATGCGAGAGGTTACATTAACAACAATGTGTTAATCCTTGAGGGCTCAGCGGAGTGCTAGATCATCATTTAGCAGCAAGGCATTCCCTGGGAAATATCCCTCCCTATTCCACCCTCTAACTTCACCACCTCAACCAAGCTTCACAATCATCATAGCTGTGAACAGTATTAAATTGTTTGTTTAAAACATATAATGTGTGTATATCTATATAATATATAGTTTTTTGTCTGGTGAAATTTTTTTCCCCTGGAACCTAACCCCCCCCCCCCCCCCGCCCCATTTACATTAATTCTTATGAGGAAATTGGATTCGCTTAACATCATTTCGCTTAAAGTCGCATTTTTCAGGAACATAACTACAACATTAAGGGAGGAGTTACTGTACCAAAGGAGTAGGGCCCTACCAAATTCACAGTCCATTTTGGTCAATTTCATGGTCATGGGATTTTAAAAATTGTAAATTTCATTATTTCAGCCATTTTAATCTGAAATTTCACCATGTTGTAATTGTAGGACTCATGACCCAAAAAGGAATTATGGGGGGCGGCTCCCCAGGTTATTGTAGGGAGGGTTGCATCCCCCACTGATGACACTAACAGGAATGAAGGGAGGGAGCATCACAACTGAACATGTGTTATGAAGAGAGAGGCCTGCACTGCTGCAGCCTGTCACCCGGCATCAGATCTCCTATTTCTGTGTCGGGCAACCCCTTTGTGGTGCTAGTCTGCAAAAGTGTGTAACTCTAGGGTCAGTGGTTGGAAGGAACTTAGCTGGGAAGAGTCCGTGAGGCTGTGTGGCACTGGGGTTACTGTCCACCCCTAGAGTCGTGGGGTCAAGGTCCTGCCCCAGCTCTTGTGAGAACAATGTGGCTGGTGGGGCTGATCAGAGTGCATCTCACACAGCCCATACAGAACATAGCAGTGTTTGGAGTCTCTGTTCATTTGGGGCCCAGGCTTAGACTAAGAGGAGGGAAAGCTGGACAGGACTAAGGAGCGGAGGGCTGGAGTAGGAGGGAAGCTGTTCATGGGAACTGAGGGATACAAACAGAGCTGAGGCTGGGGGAGGGAGTCCAGGACTGGGATAGCAGGAGGCTACAGTCAGTGGTGGTGTTTATCCCATGGGAACACCCTGCACAGCTCAATTCCAGAGCCCCTACCAGTGACTTCGCATGTATCATGTGTGAGAGGGTGCAGGTGTGGAAGATAGGACTGGACAGCACATTGTGAACGGACCATTCAAGTTTATGGCCCATTAACTAACACAATGGGCCATAGAAGAAGCTTATTCCCACCTGGTGGGCCTTCTTGAGGACATTTCAGCCAGAATATGGGTAATGGCTCCTGCTATGACTCATCAAAGCATGAAAGGGCATGTAACTTGGTCATGTGACCTGGACTCCATCTTGTGCCTGTACTTTTCCAGGAATGAAGACTGAAAATTTTCCCTCCACATGGGAGAAGATATATATATATAAAAAAAACCATAAGCATCTCCAATTGGCCTTTTTCCTGCCCTGATCTCTGGACTATGGACTTACACTAAAAAGAGCATTCAAAGCAATGGACTGAGGAACTTCCAATCTTTTGGTAGTCTTTTACAAGCCATCAGTTTATTCCACCACTGCTACAAACCTGATCCAAGAATTTTGCAATGAGTGTATGTATTTGTGACGGTACCTCCCATAAGGCTTTTTGGGAATATGACATAACTGGAATATGTTTTGTGCTGCCTGTGCCATGTAACATATCTCTGTAAAGGTTATGGTCTACTATATCTATTCATCCTATTTGTACACATATATCATTTTGTACTTGAGGTTAAGAATATTGGTTGTATGCTTGCTTGATTTCTAAGTAAGCTTTGTGAGGCATTTGGTCAGCTTCTTTAGGAAGGAATTCGCAAGGTTAAGTACCCGATCAGGAAACACTTGGGGAAAAATGCATCTTGGAATGCTCCAATCCACATAAGAAGTCTTCCTGGAGACATACAAGATACCATGTGGACAATGGCTTCTACCTGCAAAGACTGTGAGTCATGCATGAACATGTGACTTGCCCAGGTGACTCCAGAACTCCATCTTGGAGCTGGACTTTGCATAGGAGTGAGGAGGGGGTCTCCACCCACAAGAGAAAGTCTATTTAAACCCCTGGGAGACCCCTCCATTTTTGTCTTCAGCTGGCTAAAGAGAGAGCCTCTCCACCCCCCAGGATACTTGAGGAAAACTGGAACAAAGGACAGTAACTGCAGGGGGTGTCAGTGATTGCTGGACGCAGGCTAAAAGGAGATTAGCCTGTAAAAGGGAGCATTCTGGAACTGGTGAGGGTCTTATCTGTATTTAGTTTGATTAGACATAGATTTGCACATTTTATTTTATTTTGCTTGGTGACTTACTTTGTTCTGTCTGTTACTACTTGGAACCACTTAAATCCTACTTTCTGTATTTAATAAAATTACTTTTACTTATTAATTAAATCAGAGTATGTATTAATACCTGGGGGCGCAAACAACTGTGCATATCTCTCTATCAGTGTTATAGAGGGTGAATAATTTATGAGTTTACCCTGTATAAGCTTTATACAGGGTAAAATGGATTTATTTGGGTTTAGACCCCATTGGGTGTTGGGCATCTGGGTGCTAAAGACAAGTACACTTCTGTGAGCTGTTTTCAGGTAAACCTGCAGCTTTGGGGCAAGTAATTCAGACCTTGGGTCTGTGTTGGAGCAGACGGGAGTGTCTGGCTCAGCAAGACTAGGTGCTGGAGTCCTGAGCTGGCAGGGAAAACAGGGATAGAAGTAGTCTTGGCACATCGGTTGGCAGCTCCCAAGGGGGGTTCTGTGATCCAATCCGTCACAGTATTTGTTTTCCTTAACCATTATAACTTTCTCCTCTTTCTTTTCTCCTCTAAATAAACCTTTGATGTTAGATACTAAAGGATTGGCAACAGCGAGATCATTGAGTAAGATCTGAGTTGTATATTGACCTGGTTATGTGGCTGATTTCTTGGGACTTGAAGAACACTTTGTTTGATGAAATTTGGTTTTAAATAACCACTCAGTATTAAATCTAGTGTCTGGGTGGTGAAAGAAGGGCTGGGATAGCTAGGGAGACTGCATTTCTGACTTCTTGTTAACCAGTGTGATGAGACAGAAGTGTACTTGTGTTAGTGGTTTGGTATATCTTATGGAAGAATAACTACCAGTTTGGGGTGGGGTTGCACCATTTCTCAGCAGTTTGTCTTGAATATGGTATTCTCAGCTGTGACCCACTGAGGCACGGTGAAACACCCCCATAATCTGAACCATTGGGCAGTGTAGACCTAGCCTGAGTCCCATCATTCCATATGCTTTGAATTCACTCTCTGTTATTAAAGCTGAAATGTGAGCTGCCAACTCTCCAGTGCTTTTTTTTATTTCGAGGGCAGGGGGAAATGATCATGAAAGTGACTAAGGTCCATACAGAGCATGTGATGATTTTTCTATCTCATTATACCATGGAAGCTCAGACACACATTTACTAGGGGACCACGGTTAAGCTAATTACCTGCTTCCCAGGTCCTCTTCTCAGTCTCTGAAATGGAAATAGAAAAGAGTCAGGCCCAGAGACACAAACTGTGTGGTGCTGTACACTGCCTAATGACTGGGATTAGTCACAGACATCCCATACCCGCACTCCCAGACCCAGTTCAGGGGCCGGCAGGGTTGACAGGAGCAGGGCTGGCGGTAAGTGATATGCACCAACAGGCAGAAGACCTGGGGAGTCTCTCACTCCTTAGCCCCTTTCTACACACACGCTTGAACCAGTTTAACTAATTAGGTTTCTAAACACACCTTGAGTTAAACTGGTGCAGGACTGTGTGTAGAGCAGGCCTTGGGCTGGTGCAGCAGGGCAGTAGAACCATGTGGTGGGGTTAATTACTCAACAGCGACCCCTGTGGCTAGTTACAGAACAGCTGGAGGAATGGTGGCTGCAAGGAGGCATGGCAGAGGGCAAAGGAGATGAAAGAGGGGGATCCTCAGGGCTTTTCCAGGTTGTCCTTGTTATGAGGATCCCAGTCACTGTGCTGGCATGTTTTATCCAGTCTCTCCATCTTTCATCTGTATTTCCTACATGTGTGCACTGTGCCCAGCAGAACGGGTCAGCACCACTCAGCACCATCACAATGCAAACCAATATTGTTCTTACATATAAAAAAGTTCACAGTGAAATAAATTAGATGTGTGGACTTCTAAAAAAAACAGTGTTGCTGTGTCTATTAGCACATCTCGAGAGAGGGAACATCACAGATTCATAGAATTGAAGACCAGACAAGGCCATTTAATCATCTACAGCTATATATCACAGGCTAGAGAATCTCACCCAGTTCCCCTTGCACTGAGACCAATAACTCAGGTTTGGCTACAGCAGCTTCCAGAAAGGTGCCTAGTCCAGATTTGACGCCATCAAGAGATGGAGAATTCAACACCACCCCTGGGAGCTTGCTCCAATGGTTAATGACCCTCCCTGTGTCCTGTTCATTCAACAATAACAGGGATGAAATCATCTCACATAGCGTCATTGACCTTGCAGTGTCATTTCCTTTATACAGAATACAGCCACCGACCAATTGCCCAGGGTAAGAGTGGCAAAATCTCCCTGCCCCACCCACATACAGGGAATCTCATGAGCACTGAACATTGGGTTTCCACTGCAAAATACACATTTGCCAACCTGTTATCATCAGGGTGTGTGAGAATGTGGGGAGGCAGAGACCTCCTGGCTCTATCCCCTTCATTGCCCTGATAACACAAAGCAGTCACAGAGCTCACACATCTCAACAGACAGAGCAAGAATAGAACAGGAGACCTACCAAGATTTAACAGAGCCTCTTCTTTGGAGAGTTTCTTCTGAGAGGCCTTTTTCTTCGCTGTGAGACAGAGAATCAGACATTGCAGTGAGATATGGAAGGAAAGGGAAACACTGAGCAATACGCTAATACAGCTGAGGCCGGGCACCCCAGTGTGTTTGATAGTTTGGTTTATTTCCTAAAACCAACACAAGGTAAATATCTGAACAATAAGACATTCCCATGCCTCAGCCCACTGCTCTCTAGGGCCGGGCTCTAAACATGCAAATAACACATTCCCATTACCTGCGTATCCAAGATATGCACAAGCTCCAGTAGCAATGAGAACCAGAGTGAACAATACCCAGAATGCAGCCAGCCAGGGAGAAACACGGGGGAAGATGTCACCTGGCAAACAGAGAGTGCAGTGCGTTAGGAGCACGGTTCCATCCTGGAGCTGGAGAACGGTGTTTGCCACTTGGTTTGACAGCTGAGTCAGGGCTCAGAGAGCCCCAGAAATAAACAGGAAGGAAATGTCCCCTCCACACTCAAATCACAGCCGCAAATGGAGGCATTGAAACTGGAGAAGCCAATGCAGCATCTGTTCCAAGAACCAGGACTCTGCTCTGCCCAAATTCCACCCACTGTTACAAGCCAACTGCCAGCGGCTCCACCCAGCCTGCCCAGCCCTGCCTGCACCAGCTGGCTGTTCGGATGGTCACTGTCACACAGCTGCCAGTTCTCAGTCACCACGTCCAGTCCAGATAAGTTCAGCAGAGAACAATTGTTTTCCAAGCTGGCCCCAGTGTGTTATGAGTTCATGAATTCACAGATGTTAAGACCTGAAGGGCCATTATGACCATACAGGCTCCTCTTGTATAACCTGGGCCAGAGACCCTCTCCCATGGATCTCTGCATCCAGCCCAGAACTTCTGTTCCTGCTAGAGCGGATCTTAGAGAAAGAGACACCCAGTTTGGATTGAAAGATTCCAAGTGATGGAAAATCCACCACGTCCCGTGGTCAGTTGTTCGATTGGTTAATTCCCCACACTGTTAAAATCTGCACCTTATTTCTAGTCTGAATTTGTCTAGCTTCAATTCCCAAGTCAAGTGCAATTCCTAAGTAACCCAACCCCCCCCCCCCACTCTTGTGGTAATCCTTTCAGCACGGGGGGACTCACGTGAGAGGTGAATGGCCGATTGTCGCTCAGTCTCCAGCAGGCCATTCCGCACTATGCAGCTGATGTCTCCATTGTCTTCCCCTTCTGTGACAGTGACGTGACTCACAACACTATATAGGTTCTCCCTGTCCTGAGTCACATCGGTCACAATCTCCATCGCCAGGTTCTGCCCGTTCTTTCCAACCCACTGGAGTTTGGGTTTGGGGAACCAGCCTGCGGTTCTACAGGCCAGCCCAATCCCCTGGTCCTGGGGGCCCAGCACCTCAATGAACACGGGAGCCACTGCTGCAGGGAGAGACAGGGAGTGTGTGTATCAGGAAATCATGTCTTTGGTAGCACCCATGTGATTCCCCAGCTACCTCTGGGTATAGAGGTCTGTGACTGGAAAGCTCCACTCCCTTATGTGCAAAGTCTCCGTGGGATCCCTCATCCTGACGATTGGAGAAATCAAATAACACTGTCTCTGTGACACAGGGCTAGAAAGGGTTACACAACTAGCAGGCTAATTGACCCAGATTCAACCTTTAGAAACGCAGTAGTAGAGAATGACTGTGTGTTTTTATGTGTTTACATAGATATTGTTAGAGGTTGACAATGTAACCAAACAGTTCCTGTCTATCACTGTATTCTGTTAATCAGAGATGAAAGAAGATGTTAACATTTAGATGAACTGTGAATGCACTAATAGCACTGTCTTCATTTCTCTTTGAAATATGTAATAAACTACCTGCAAATGGCAGGAGATGGGCAGGTGCCTTGTGTTAATCCATGCAGCTAATTACCGGTGGTGCTTAGGAAACAGTAGGTTACTCCAAAGCCACTATTGTTCACCCAAGGACTGCATGCTGTCAAGAGGCTGCTAAAGAACTATAAAAGGAACACTTGGGCCCTGATCCTGTTCTCACAGATCTGCTTAAGCTTCATCAGGGGAAGTTTGAGTCACAAGACTGAGGTCTCCAGTCCCATCTGGATCGTTACCTATGGACTAATTCTGGAAGAATACTTTGCAACTGTAAAGCTCAACATCTCTGCTACGAAACTGACCTAAAAATGTTATCCAAGTCTCTGTGTATAATGATCTTTTAACCAATACTCTCTTTTCTTTTTAAATAAATTTTAGTTTGGTTAATAAGAATTGTCTGTACACGTGTATTTGGGTAAAATCTGAAATATTCATTAATATGGTGGGTAATGTGTCTGATCCTTTGGGATTGGTAGAACCTTTTATATGATGAACAAGATTTTCAGTCATCCTCATATTTGACTTGGCTGTCTGAGTGGGAGTTCAAGGCTGGATTATTTTAAGGGAACTCTGTTTTGGGCTTCTGGGTAATCACTAAGGTGTTGTGGAAGCTGTTTTGTTGCTGACTTGGTGAATCTAAGTATTAGAATAACCACCAGTTTGGGGGATTGTCTTGCCTTTCCATAGAGCACTTTGCCCTGAAGTCTCACTGAGGAATGTGCAGTGTGAAACTGCTACACAGAGATCGCTGCACCTGCTGCTGAAATGCAGCCACTTCTGAGGTGGAGCCTAGCAGCTGTCAGGATCACTGCACTTTCAGTACAGAGCAGGAAGTGAAGGATGGTGACCCCACCTACATCACTGCTCCTACTCCTCCTGTGCCTCCCTTCCACATACTGTCCTCTCTGGTGTCCTTCTCTCATACTGGGAATGGTGCCCAAGGGCCAAGCCATCATATCTGGATTTCTCTTCCTGTGCTGCACACAACCACCCTCCCCTTATTTAAATCTCTCCCTAAAAGCACACATTTCCTGCGGAGCCTTTGCATTAGGAGCCACCAAAGATGGGAGAGGATTTAAAATAACCTCAACACTCTGTATTATCACAGGAGGGCCCCTCACCTGGGGCTTGGTGTTTCTGAACTGCATTGTCTGGGGCTACGTTACTCAGTGATCTCAATGGGTAGAGACCGTCCCTTCCACTGTCCTTGTGCAGCACTGAACATAGGGTCAGTGCCCAGGGAATAACAAACAATATCCCAGCCCTTGGACACAGCAGGGGGAGTTTCAGGGAGACCGAACATAATTATCACCTGAGCTGGGATATGGGCAGAACATGGGGGTAAAGGTCCCACTCCCTCAAACAGCACCGCAATGAGCATGAGAGCTGAGAACTGTAGCTTTAAATCTCACTGAAAAGAGATTGTTTAATGCAGCACTGACCCTGCTAGCATCACAGTGGGGTCAGCGCTGAGTGTGAGGGGAAAGCGCCCCCTACTGAGTCTTGCACACAGCTCCCTGCAGCACAGGACTGCCATTCTGAGCTCAGTCTGGGGACCCCCCTCACCTCCAGGGTACAGAAGCTCTGGCTGCCCAGACACAGTGCCCCTTAGTGCCGCATCTCACCTGCGACCCGTAACTCAGTGGTGGCTTCCTGGCTCCATTCTGGGTTCCTCACAAAGCAATGGTATGTCCCAGCATCTGCCCCTTGGAGCCCTTTCAGCTTCAGGGAGACGTTCCCGCTGCTGAACTCCTGTGGGAACAGCTCCGTCCGGTTCTGGTAACTCTTCCCCGGCAGGTCCTGAGAACCCTCATCCGAGTACTTGTGAACCGTGATAAATACTGTTCCAATTTTCCTCCACAGCACTTCCATGCTGGGCAGCCGGACTGGGGGTGAGAGCTGGCAGGGTAACACCACATCCTGGCCAACTACCCCCACCACGGGGCGTGGGGAGCCAGCCAGGGAGAACTTCTCTGAAATAGACAACCCCAGGAGCAGAGTGAGTGAGAGGAATGAGGAGAGGGCGTCACTGAGTCAGGGTCCAGCCGTACAGACACACAGTGAGTGAGAGGAGATGGCATCACTGAGCTAAACAAAATTCCCTCAGTCGTGTATTGCTCATAGCAGAAGGTTCCCAAGGTTGAGCCATGTGTAGCTTAACTGACTTACTCTCAGTGTGGACGCAGAGCAGTACAGTCAGACCACAGCTGGCACAAGCTAGTCCTCCAATGCTGTCCTACAATCCTCTGGAAACTCCTCCAAAGGTGCCTGTCTTGCACTCTGTTGGCAAGGGATGGTCCCAGCTGGAAGCCACCTGCCAGTTCATAGTGCCCTGCACAGACCCATGGCATTCAGTTACAAGCTGGGAGCAACTTCTCTGATGAATCAGTTTCAGATCCACATAGCCCCACAATGGCTGCTGAGCGATCACCTCAGAGGGCTTCTGCCTGGCCTGAGGGTATCGGGACTTTGATGGACCTTTGGGCTGCTGCACGTCCCTTCCATGGATTCAATACCCAAAACAGAAACTGGCTCAGATGAGGATTCACTGTTCTGGTGATCGGTGTCTGGAGGAAATTAAATGTTTGAAGGTGATTTATGAATCTAGAATAGCTGTGTCTGAAGGGTTTCCATGGTCCTTTGTCCCAACATGGGGCATGTAGAGGAATGACGACTGAGCTACAGCACCTGACACTCACTGTGTGGCTACAGGTGGGGAGGGATAAAGGGCAGATTTTCAAAGCCAACAAGGAGATTTTCATACCAGCGTTGCCAGCTCTTGGGCTACTAAGTGTTTTTCATAAAGCCCCAGCTCCTGAAGGCATGTGATTCTGTGAGAATCTGTTTTCATTTTTAAAAAAGCAGTTTCTAGCTCTAATAGTTGCAGAGAAAAGCTTTAAAATATGACCTGAGTGTGACCAAAGACTCAAAACACAAGGGAAATAAGAAGACCCCCAAAAGTGGTTTTGTTTTGTTTTGGTTTTTTAAATCTTATGATTTTTCTGCCAATCTCCTGATTTTTGAGGCCTGACTCATAGTGTTTGAAGGTTCGGGGCTGGCGATGCTGAAGCTCCCCTTCATCCCAATGGGAACTGGACACTCCCTTCCCTTAGGCAGCTGTGAAGATCTCAGCCTTGCAGGCCATGAGAATCCAGGTCCGCAGTGGGGCAGGTCTAGCAGCACGGTGCCTTCGGGTCCCGTGGCAGTACAGGAAGGGATCAGTGTCGGGGGGTCTGGAAGCCTCTCTCTTGCTGCAAGATCTGACAATCCTGCCACCCAGAGCTAGGACACGCCCTGGTCACCCTAATGTCATCCCCTCCCCACAGCCTCCTGGGCCTGGCCCCTTTTACTGTGCAGAACTGAGGAGGTCCCAGGGAGCGGGGGTGTATTTGGGCCTCAGATCCCCCTACCCCAGCCTGCAGGGGGCAGCGTACATAAGGGACAGGGAGGGAAATAATTGAGATTCAAACGTTTTTACCAGAGAGAGAACATGACGCCAAGAGGAAGATCCCCAGGCTGCACACACACAGCTGCCACTGCATCGCCATGGGGACATCCCGGGCAGGGACCTGTAGGAGAGAGCAGGGATGGTTAACACTCCCCAGACTGCCTGAGGAGCTGGCAGTGCAGGGAACATGCCCCATCCATTGTCTGACCCGACCCACTCTGCTCCCAGGCAGAGCAGGTCCCCAGGGACAGGAGAGGATTTCACCCCTCCCAGGCTGCTCTGCCACCTGCCCAGGCCTGGCACTAGGAATTTCCATCACCGGGACGTGCTGGGTATCCGCCTCCATTTCCTCCCCTTGTTGGTTCTCTGACCATCCATTGGTGCAGATGCCCCCCGATACCAGTGCAGGGTGAGCCTGCAGCAGAGCAGGGCCTCTTCCAAGGTAACCCCAGTGGTACCCACCCTGCTGTCCACCCCTGCAGAAGGGGCCTGGTTCAGTGCCTGACACCACCTTGGATAACACAGCAGATGCGTGACCCAGGGCTCTCCACAGTTCATGGCATGAGGCTCTATAGTGTGAACTAAAGAGTCAGGCTGTGCAGCTGAGGCTGTGACAGACAGAAGGGACCCGTCTCACACTCTGGCCAGTGGTTCCATCTGGGCACCTCTCTACAGGGTCGGCTTGGCCAGAAGTCACCCACCTCTGTAAGTGATGCTGCCAAGTGATATAGACAGGGCTTGCAGTGGCTGTCAGAGACCCCAGGGGGCGCTGTCAAATGCCTGCTCCCCAACCCTTGATATCAATAGGAGACCATCACATCAGTAGATTTTATAGCAAGTGTCAAGGTTCCTTCCCCACTCTGAACTTTAGGGTACAGATGTGGGGACCTGCATGAAAACCTCTAAGCTTAACTACCAGCTTAGATCTGCTTTTGCTGCCACCACCCAAATAGTTTGAGTCATTTGGGAAACTCTGTCTTCCCCCCCCAAAACCTTTCCCTCCCTGGGTAGCCTTCAGAGACTCCTCCACCAATTCCCTGGTGAACACCGATCCAAACCCCTTGGATCTTAAAACAAGGAGGAATTAATCATTCCCCCCTCCCCTTGCCCTCCACCAATTCCTGGTGGATCCAGATCCAATCCCCTTGGATCTTAAAACAAGGAAAAATCAATCCGGTTCTTAAAAAGAAGGCTTTTAATTAAAGAAAGAAAGGTAAAAATCATCTCTGTAAAATCAGGATGGAAAATAACTTTACAGGGTAATCAGATTCAAAGAGCCCAGAGGAACCCCCTCTAGCCTTAGGTTCAAAGTTACAGCAAACAGAGGTAAACCCTCTAGCAAAAAGGAACATTTACAAATTGAGAAAACAAAGATAAATCTAACACACTTTGCCTGGCTGTTACTTACAAGTTTGAAATATGAGAGACTTGTTCAGAAAGATTTGGAGAGCATGGATTGATGTCCGGTCCCTCTTAGTTCCAAGAGCAAACAACCCCCAAAAACAAAGAGCACAAACAAAAGCCTTCCCCCCACCAAGATTTGAAAGTATCTTGTCCCCTTATTGGTCCTTTGGGTCAGGACTCAGCCAGGTTATCTGAGCTTCTTAACCCTTTACAGGTAAAAGGATTTTGATGTCTCTGGCCAGGAGGGATTTTATAGTATTGTACACAGGAGGGCTGTTATCCTTCCCTTTATAGTTATGACAGCAAGGTACACAGGGGGGACAGAAGGAGCTGTCTCAGCTCTGCTCAGAGCCTTAGACATCCTGCCATCAATTCTCTGGCCTATGCACACAGTGTCAGACTGGATGGACACAATGGGCTCTTCTGGCCTTAACATCTGTGAATCTATTTCTGTTTCACTTCCAGCTCCCTACAAGCCCATCCATCATGCATGTGGTGGTTTGAAAACTGAATGTCACTGTAAATGCTGTGGGGGTTTTCCTGGTTCTGCTGGCAGTCAGTGGGCTTTATAGGGAAGTGTGTGATCTGGGTCCAGCAGCAGGCAGATGTACAGAGAGCAGCCTAGAGCAAGGTGGGATGACCTAGGCCTCTGCCTTAGAGAGCAGCCTGCTTTGTCTCTCTCTGTTTTGGGTCCTTGTATGTTGTCGTTCTAGATTCTAAGCAATAAAGCCATGTTACACTGCAGCCTTCCAGCCAGAGGATTTATGTTTATATCACTCTCTGTGTGTGCCAGAAGCATAACAACAGACACCTTCCCTCTAAAGAGACCTCCTTTCTGAGCCCATCCAAGGTCACTTGGGAATGACATAAATTGCTAGAGGGCAGTATTAAGGTCAAGACACTGTAGGCCTGTGCTCGGGGGCCCAGCAGACTCTTGTCTTGCATTAAAAAAACCCATATGTTTCCTGGTTTCATGTGTGAGGAGAAAAGCTCAGAATCGTGCCCTGGGTTTAATGGTCCCATCAACACCTGCCTGAGTCTGCAGAGAGCTGGGGGCCAGAGCTTCAAGAGGGGAACTGCCCCATGCAGCTCAGCAGGAGGTTTACTGCCAGTTCTGCTGCTCTGCAGGCCCTGCCAACCCCACCCAGCAGGGAGTGTGTGTGCGAGAGGGGGGAAGAGTCCTGGGGACCCAACTCCCCCACCCCTTCCAAGCACCGCTGTAATTATCATGGGTTTCATTAAACAACAAACCAGTGAGTGAGAAAGGAATAAAACATTTATTACAAACAAACTAGACAGTGTCTGTGGTGAACTGCTGGGCACAGCAACACTGTGTTCTTCACCCAGCTACCAGGCATGATTCAAAATTCCTGTGTTCATAATACGGACCTTTATGAGTGAGCGTCTCTAAATTAGCCTTGCACAAACATATCTCTACATCTTCCCTCCTGGAAAAAAAAACATTAATTCTTATATACCCATATGTAAACAACTAACAACTATGTAATAACACATACATTAAATTCTCCACCTGTCTAGTAAATTTCCATAATCCCAACATGTTAACCATCTAGAGATGAGAGGTTACCACCACATCACTCTGGAGTTAGTCTTTGCCACTCACTTTCCTCAAACACCCCTTCTCCAGACAGGTTAGCAAGTCTCAGAGTCTTTCAGGATGTTTAATCTCCCTCTATGATTTTCTCAGAATCAGACCTTCATTATAATCTGAGTTGTTCTCTTCTTGCTTGCCAGTTTCTCCTTTGTCCATTGCAGATAAATGATCAGTCAATTGGGAAATGCCAGAGTCCACATGTACTGTCAATATTTTGGAGCTTTCTGGGATTAGTCTTAGATCCCTTCTATTACGCCAAAATGTGTCCCCTTGGTTTCTGTGGTTTTAAACCTTGGATGCAGCTGTTCTTTAATGGCAATCCTTTGGCCCAATGCATTAGAGATGTGATTCTTCAGGCACACTCTATCACCTGGGTTAAGAGATGGGAGATCATGGGCCCTTTTCTCAAAATAATATTTCTGCTTCCACTTCTCATTTTCTTTTCTCTTTTGTATGGTTTAATTATTATGAGATTTTAGCAAGTTATCAGTGATTGGTAAATTAGATCTGATCCTTCTTCCCATTAACAGCTGAGCTGGAGAAGAACCATTCTCCAGAGCTGTACTTTGGTAAACCAATAAAGCTTTATGAAAATCATCCCCACCATTGAAAATCATTTTCATAAGGTTCCTTACCATCCACATAGAACTTTCTACATGTCCATTAAATTAGGGGTAATTTGGATTTGATGTTTTGTGATGAAAATCCCAATCTATGGCAAATTGCTCAAAATCTGCATTGGAAAACTGCAGCCCATTATCAGCTAAAGACTTCATCAGGAATTTCATGTCTGCAAAAGATTCCCTTCATGCCGGCTATCACTGATTTAGTGTGCAAATTTCTGGATACAGAGAATGATAATTTGTGACTATTAAATAATTCTTTGATTCCCAGGGAAATAAGTCAGTGCCGACCTTCTCGTAAGGCCTTTGTGGAACTGGGTGAGGTCTCAGAGGCTCTGCCTCTTGGCATGGCTTCTATTTCAAGCATTTTAATGTTTTGATTGATCCACGGTCAATATAACACTTCTTGTGCTCACTGTTTGCACTTCACAATTCCTAAATGACCCTCATGGATCTTCTGTAGCATTTCTTTCTGGAGGCTCATTGGTATTACAGCCTTCTTGCCCTTGAATATCACCCCATCTATCACAGTAAGTCCATGTCTGCAGTTCCAATAGTCTCTCATTCTTGAACAGCAAATGTTTATGTCTCCAGGACACCCTTTAATTATCACTTCTTTAAGGATCACCAATAATTCATCTCTCTCCATTTCCTCTCTTATTAGTTGCAGTTTCCTGTAGAGTACTGGCATTGACTTAACAGTCTGATATATATAGGCTTGCAACTCTATTTCTAAAGGCTTCTCTGGTTTGGTAGTGGTAGTCAGGGCTCTGGAAAGTGCATCTTCAGGGAACATATATTTAGCGGGTGTGTAGATCACAACCAAGTCATACTTTCACAGCTTTATCATCATTCTTTGAATCCTTAAGATACAGATATTTTATGGTTTGCCATAGAGTCTCGTGGTTCATTTCAGTATCTGCTGTCTGGCCATAAATACATTGATTGAATCTCTCACAGGCAAACAATATTCCTAAAAGCTCTTTCTCAATCTGTGCATATCTAGTATCCGCCCCAGTCAGTGATTTGGATGTGTATGCCACTGGTTGCCAACAATTTGCATGCTACTGTAAATTAATTGCACCTAACCCAGACTGTGAAGCATCTGTTGACATTTTAATAGATCTGCCTGGAAAAATCATGGATCAGGTCCTCAAGGAATCAATTCTGAAGCACTTAGAGAAGAGGAAAGTGATCAGGAACAGTCAGCATGGATTCACCAAGGGCAAGTCATGCCTGACTAACCTAATTGCCTTCTATGAGGAGATAACTGGGTCTGTGGATGAGGGGAAAGCAGTGGATGTGTTATTCCTTGACTTTAGCAAAGCTTTTGATACGGTCTCCCACAGTATTCTTGCCGGCAAGTTAAAGAATATGGGCTGGATGAATGGACTATAAGGTGGATAGAAAGCTGGCTAGATCGTCAGGCTCAACGGGTAGTGATCAATGGCTCCATGTCTAGTTGGCAGCCAGTATCAAG